ATTTTTCTCTATATCGGTTGCTATGACTCATCAGTATTTTTTACTTTTGAGGCTGGCATTTGGACTAAGGTTTTATTTTATTTTTTTACTTTTGAGGCTGGCATTTGGACTAAGGTTTTATTTTATTTTATTTTTTTTTAAATCTATCTTAATCAGAGATTTGGTCGGATTTTTTTTAAGGAGCATAACGGTTAATTTAAATTAGTAATATGAGCAGGGTATTAACAAAATTTAAAAAGAATCAAATTAGTCAAACAGAATGACGCATTACATTGAATGCAACAATCTATTTTGCGTATTTAGAATAAGCCAAACAATTTGGCACATTGCTATAATATTTTTAGAATTTAGGTCGTTTAGCTGGGGTGAATGTACCAAATGATTTGACAGATTCTTTAGAATGCATCATTCTGTTTCGTTAATTTAATTCTTTTTAATTTTTTTAATACTCAGCTCCTATTCCTAATTTAAATTAACCACCATGCTAGCTCCTTAAAAGACTTATTGTTGTTGTTGTAAAAAATTATTAAATTTTTCTTTCAAGTATGAGTAATAGAACAGCCTGGAGGCTGGAGTAATAGCAACTAAATTTGAATGAAGACTTAGTAAGATTTTATGGGATTAATTTGGATAAGATTTGATTGATCAAAAATAGGGATAAAATTTTGTTTGTTACATTTTATATTAAAATGAGGCTAATTTTATTACATATGTCATGAATTCTATATGTTATGTGTAATGTCATGTTTTTTTTTCCTTAAAATAATTAAATTATAGATAATATTTTTTTTCTATATATAATTAAAATATATATATATAATAGCTAGCTATCAGATAATATAACTAAATTATTGAAAATTACAAGTATGTTTAAAATTTAAATAAAGTTAGATTATTAGATTATAAGCATAGTACAACTAAATTACTTATTTAATAATTTAGTATATAAAATTGTATAATATGATATCATGATGAAAAAGCTAAAGCTATTAGGATGTCTTTCAAACTGTTTTGATTTGTTCAAATATTAGTGTTGTATATGAATTGTATTAATCTCAACGTAAATCTATGGGCCGCTTTAGGGTCAATTTGGGATAGATGTAACTTTTACAAAATTGATTGTGAAGTTGCTGTGAGGAAAACAACTTATCTATTTGGTTGCGAAAAACAACAATCATCTAAACAATGTTGAAAATCAGCAAGAAAGTAGTAATCAAATGAAATTGTGACCCTCAATCTTATAGATACTTTTACAAGCAATCATTTTTAACCGTGTGACCCAAATGAATTATTGTAGGAGGGAAAGAACAAAACTTGAGATAATAATCACAGTGATTGAATTCAAATTTGCTCATGGATGATTTAAAATTTTACTAATTTACATAAATAGAGCCTATGAGGAGGAACGAGATAAGCTCAGAGAATCTTATTAGATTGATGTCCGAATGAATATGAGTGATTTTTTGGTGAGCTCTATAGTGAGTTCTTTTGTCATTTTATTTTGAGTGGGTGAGTAGCTTTGACAAATTTGATCACTTCAATTCTTTGTCATAACATCACCATTAGCCAAACAATGAAAGAAACACATTTGACCATTCAAGGGCCTAAAACACACAAATTAGAACCCAATGAATGCAATTTATAATGCCAAACATATAATCAGATAAGCCTCATATTGTAAAGAAAGGTTTTGATAAATACAATGTTCTTGACCTTGTTGGCTTGTACAGATGTAATGATATTTGTTTGGAGCCTGAGGCTCCAAGTCAACAACAGACAGTTCAAAAATAAATTGTAGAAATTCAAAGGATATGGAATAAAAAATTTGTAAAGTTATTTGTATTTTCTGAGCTACAGCTTGTATTTGCCTGAAAGCAAAGAAACTAGCTGTTAGGAATAGCTGCAGCATTTTATAAAGGTGGTCGTAAAGCTGCTGCGAAGAAAGTAACTTTTTTGAAAGTTGTTGTAGAAAGTAGCATCTTAGCCTAAAGTTTTCTTGAAAGCAGTGATTAAATAGAAACAATGATTGAGATCTCAAAAACAAAGTCATAAGAAAACTCTACTCAATTTGTCATTAGTTACTGTGGGAGAAAAAGACAAATAAGAACTCACTTTACTTTTTTTATGAATAATGAAACTTATACAGTTCAATATATATAAGATCATTAAAGACATGATTTTATTTTAAGACATTTGAAAGTTTATGTATTTATAAAGATCATTAAAGATGTATGATTTTATAATATTGTGAAGCATGTACTGTATAAAAAGGTTTAAAATTACAATATTTTTAAAAATTTTATATGTTTAATCTTTAAATACTAAGTTAGGATACGAAATGAGCATATACGTGAAAATGTTGAAGTAGCTCCAGTGGAACATAAGATTAGAGAAAGTCGTCTTAGATGATTTGGTCACATTAAACGGAGGCCTTCGGATGGGCAAATTATTGGGTCAGGTGACCGAACGCAGAGATAGGTCCGGATATTAATAAAATATTATTTTAAAATTAGCGCAAGTAAAGCGCAACTAAAGCGCAGGTAAAGCGCAACTAAAGCGCAAGTCAAAAAGCGCAACTAAAGCGCAACCAAAGCGCAACTAAAGCGCAAGTCAAAAAGCGCAAGGTGACGCGGCAAATTTTTATTGGATGTCCGAACTTATTTTTCGCCTCTGGTCACCTGACCTAATAATTTGCCAAGATACTTTTAGGGTTTAGAGTTTAGGGTTTAGGGTTTAGGGTTTAGGGTTTAGGATACGAAATGATCATATACGTGAAAATGTTGGAGTAGCTCCAGTGGAACATAAGATTAGATAAAGTCGTCTTAGATGATTTGGTCACATTAAACGGAGGCCTTCGAATAACCCGATTAGGAAATTTGAGGTATTAGATTTGACTTATGTTAAGAAAAGTACATATAGACCTAAAAAGACTTGGTTAGAAAATATTAGATATGATCTTTCTTTATTAGATTTAAATAATAATTTAACTTTTAACCGAAAACAATGACGAAAAAGGATTCATGTAGCGACCCCAAATAGTGGGACAAAGTCACAAAGGCTTAATGTTGTTGTTTTAATCTTTTCATGAAAAATTTTAGTCAAAAAATAAATAATAAACATATAAATCATTGGGTAATAATTAAAATTAATATATAAATTTTGTATAAATGAGAGAGGCAGCGGAACTTTTTTCTCTCTCCAACTTTTTCTCTTTCTCTCTCTGCAACCTTTCTCTCTCTTATCTCAATCCACATTCTTTCTCCACGTTTTTTTTGGGAAGTATAGGGGCTTCGAACGGAACAATTATTACGTCCTCTGACCTGGCGTAGAGCTACGTTCGGCCGCCAATAACATATCTCCACGTGCTCTTACTCTTTTACTGCGCGGCCCGATGACTTGACCCGTAGCGGAACCCGGGAATGCTATGTTCGCGATTTTCTCGGTATTGCTCGGTATCTCAGATCGGTTCTGTTTTTGATTCCTTCTTCTCCGGCGATGGCGACTGCATCTTCCTACTATTGTTACCGCTACAGTCGCTTTATGAGGGTCTGGCCGCAGGACGCGATCGTCTGTCCTGACTGCGATGGTGGCTTTCTAGAGGAGCTTGAGCGTCGCGCTCCGGTATCTTCTTGGCGACTGTGGGGATTTCCCAGAAAGCCAGCCTGAGCCCATCAGAATGCGTCGCCACAGGCGCAATGGAACCGGAGACCGCTCGCCTTTTAACCCTGTCATCATTCTCCGCGGTCCTTCCGACAGCGGCGGTGACCGCGGTGCTGATCGCCCATCGAGCAGAAGCTTTGAGCTCTACTACGCAACAAATCTCTTGCAATACCGAGCAAATCCTGAGCAATACCAAGTTTTTTCTTGCAATACCAGGCAAATACCGAGTTGTACCGAGTTTTTCTACAACTCAGTACAACTCGGTACAACTTGGTATTTGCTCAGGATTTGCTCGGTATTGCTAGAGATTTGCTCGGTATTGCAACGATTCGAGTATAAGCTAGTCAAAATCGGAGACCGTTTGGTAACTCAAATTGCGGTTTGAACTTTCCAATAGAGCTTTGAACCCTTGATTCGGACTCGTTTGGGTTTGGATTGGATTGATCTTGGTGTCGTTGGGTTCGTATTTCCGAGACGCTCAGTTTGACTATAAGATTGCTGAAATCGGAGTTCATATGCTCCCGAAATTTAATTTTTGAAGTTTCCAACTAGTTTTTGCCTTGAGATTCGTGCCCGATCAAGATGATTTTGTGATGTCGTATCAATTATTATTATTTAATATAGTTTATATTTAAATAATTTCAAATGAATCATTAAAGAATTTTTTTTTGTGTTTCATATTTGATCTGATTTTTCAGAGGCTTAGGCTTCGTTTGGTTTTTTTGTATTTTTGTAAAAGATAGTTTAAAAAATATTGATTCAGGAAATGAAGTTTTTTATCGAAAAATCATATATAAAAAACTTTCTAAAAACAGAAAAAAATGAAACAATTGAATTATTGGGAATATGATTTGACTAAAGAAGAAATGAATTTGTGATTTTAAAACCTACCAAAAACTCCCAATCAAAGGAAGGCTTAGTCATACCAATAGGCGTTTAAAAACTACTCTCATAGCACTGCAAAATTACAACAATACCACTTCTCATATTTGAACGATCATTATAAATAGTAAAATACCATGCAATTCTTTCTCCTCATCAGTACACGGCCTTCACAAAATTCTCCCGCGCATCTTACCTTTTCTTCTTTTTCATGGCGGGAGGAGCAATCTTGAACCCTACTGGCAATGGGAAGGAGTATCCTGGAAAGATGACTATGTTCGTCTTCCTCGCCTGCCTTGTGGCGGCCACCGGCGGCCTTATCTTCGGATACGACATCGGAATCTCTGGTAAGAATCTAGCTCGGAAGCTCATAAATTCTTAGGTTTTCACTTAAAATCCGAATCGATTGATCAGAATATGAATTTTCTTTGTTTTTACCTCTAATTTGATCACGGATTGAAGGTGGAGTGACATCAATGGATTCATTTCTGCGTAAATTCTTCCCGTCGGTGTACCGTAAGGAGAAAGAGGACACAAGCACGAATCAGTACTGTAAGTTCGATTCCCAATTGTTAACGACGTTCACATCGTCCCTGTATCTCGCGGCGCTTATCGCCTCCTTCTTTGCATCGTCTGTGACGCGGACCTTCGGCCGGAAGTGGTCGATGTTCGGCGGAGGGATTACCTTCCTCGTCGGAGCAGCGCTTAATGGCGCGGCTAAGGATGTTGCCATGCTTATCATCGGCCGCATCCTTCTCGGCGTCGGTGTTGGCTTCGCCAATCAGGTGAGCAGATTTGCCTCCTAATAATACATCTATTTTTCAAAGTTCTGCGGGGTTTTCTCTGTTTCCATAGAAGCGTTTATATGTTTGCTTCACTCTTTCCCTGTTTTGTTATTGATCTTACTCTGTTGCGATCTGTCTACGTCAGATTTTTTTTTTTCATTTTTGTAAATTTAATTTTAATCTCAAATTTTAGTTCTGTAAGGGTTATTTGAATGTCTTTGTCCGTTTACTCATGTCTTTTATCAATCAGAAAAACGCATTCTCACTTAGTTTTAGACATAGCTTTTAATTTTTTAAAAAAATTTGGACTAACAATTTTTATACTAAAAAAATACTATAAAACAGAAAGAAATTTGTTCCAAACTAAACCTAATCAAATATATTTTAAATATTAATTTATAGGCTATATATCTTAATAAAATTATGAATTAGTCTATTATCTTCTTATAGATTAGGTTTATCTTATATCTAACATCTTCTATAATCCCAGAAGTTACAATTGTTACTTGGAAAAAACAGGAGTACAACTTAATTGGGATCGGATTATTTCTAATAAAATTAAAAAAAATTAAAATATACTCTTTTGCTAGCTATGATCTATGCCATAGAACAGGCAGAAAAAATATTGGATAGAAATATTATTATCTAAGATTATTTAGACTACAAGATATTTGTTTTTAATTATAATGTATTTAAATCTTATTTTATAAGACAAATATCGAGACAAGTATTAATAAATAAAATTTATAAGATAAAAACATTATTTTGAAAGAAAATATTCAATTGATTTTGGCATAAAAAAATGCTCAACCTATGTCGATCCTTGCAAAAAATTTAAGCAATATGTTAATTAATAATTTAATATAACAATAAAAATAAAATTAATTTGCTTGACATAAACTAATAAGGACAAATTTATTATAAGAAAATTTTTTAAACCAATTATTTTTAAGGAAGTATGAATTTTCATGAGAATTTATACTATATTAATTGAACACAAGTCTTCCTATATCGCATGCATTCAAATAAATATTCACAGAGGTTTGATAGATCTTCATAAAAATGTTTATAAAAAAATTCCTTAGATTCCTGTTACTTGGCTAGATTATTTGAACTAAGGTGAATGAATATGTAAAAACTAGAATCATTTTAATTAAAACTAATTATAATTTTTTAAAATAAAAAATATTTATACTATGATCATCCAAAATAAATTGGATGGCCAGAAATGCCAAGTTTTAACTGATGGATCCCAAATCCTTTATACTATTTAACAAGGACATCAGGGGTGTCAATTCGGGTCGACGGGTTGGGTTCAGGTCGAACCCGAGTTGACCCGGATCTAAACAGGTCAACTCAAATCTGACCCGGTTTTGCAAACGGGCCGAACATTTCAACCCGGAATGACCCGCGCGGGTTGCTGGGTTGACCTGACCCTACCTGCGCGGCAGAAGACTGAGTCCCGAGCACGCGATAGGGTGACTACACGAGTGCGGACGAAGTCCACTGTCCGCAGGACTGCGCGATGGCGCGAGTTATAACAATAAAAATAAAATTAATTTGCTTGACATAAGTCTTCCTATATCGCATGCATTCAAATAAATATTCACAGAGGTTTGATTGATCTTCATAAAAATGTTTATGAAAAAATTCCTTAGATTCCTGTTACTTGGCTAGATTATTTCAACTGAATTGAATGACCATGTAAAAAATTAGAATCATTTTAATAAAAATTAATTATAATTTATATTCTTATCATCCAAAATAAATTTGATGACCAGAAATGCCAAGTTTTAACTGATGGATCCCAAATCCTGAAATCCCTATACTATTTAACGCCCAATCACAAAGCACAAACCTGAAGCTTTTTCTTCACTTAGTACTAGAACAAATTTTAACGCATCGCTCATCTTGATTTTGTGCGTGGGAGCTTCTTCTTCGTTTTTTTTTTTGGGAAGGGAGCTTCTTCTTCAATAGTAAATTCATAGATTTGAGACCTGATGTGTAGGAATTAGGAATTAAATTGGCTTTAATTTTTTGTAAAAAACACATTTTAATGCAAATTTACGTTTTTTCTCTTCGAAATTCTCAGTCGGTCCCTCTCTACCTATCAGAAATGGCGCCAGCCGAACTCCGAGGCATGCTCAACATCGGCTTCCAGCTCATGATCACAATTGGCATTCTCGCCGCAAGCCTCATCAACTACGGCACCGCCAAGATCAAAGGGGGCTGGGGCTGGCGCGTCAGCCTCGCCCTAGCCGCCGTACCCGCCGCCATCATCACCCTCGGCTCCCTCTTCCTCCCCGACACCCCCAACTCCCTCATCCAACGCGGCCACCAAGAGCAAGCCCTCACCATGCTCCGCAAAATTCGTGGCACCGATGACATCCACCTAGAATATGCCGATCTCCAAGCTGCCAGCAAGGAATCCAAAACCATCCAACACCCATGGCGAACCATCATCCATCGCCGATACCGCCCCCAGCTCACAATGGCCATCTTAATCCCCTTCTTCCAGCAACTCACCGGCATCAATGTCATCATGTTCTACGCCCCTGTTCTATTCAAAACCATCGGTTTCGGCAGCAACGCCTCCCTCATGTCCGCCGTCATCACCGGCCTCGTCAACGTGTTCGCCACATTCGTCTCTATCTTCACCGTCGATCGCCTCGGCCGCCGTAAGCTTTTCCTGCAGGGCGGCATACAGATGTTCGCTTGCCAGATAATTGTCGGCACCCTCATCGCCGCCAAGTTTGGGACTTCCGGCGAAGGTCACTTGTCCAAGAGCTACTCTTCTGGGGTGGTGGCTTTCATCTGCATCTACGTGGCTGGGTTCGCGTGGTCCTGGGGGCCGCTGGGGTGGTTGGTGCCGTCGGAGATTTTTCCGTTGGAGATACGATCTGCAGGGCAGAGTATTACGGTTTCTGTGAACATGCTTTTTACCTTCGTTATTGCGCAGGCGTTTTTGTCTCTTCTTTGTAGGTTTAAGTTTGGGCTGTTCTACTTTTTCGGAGGTTGGGTGCTGATCATGACTGTCTTTATTGCCATCTTTCTGCCGGAGACGAAGGGGGTTCCCATTGAGGAGATGGTACTCGTCTGGAAGGCGCACTGGTTCTGGGGCCGTTTCATTGCGGATGAACACGTTCATGCCGGCGGCGCCGTGGTTGAGATGGCCGACGGTAAACATGGCGGCGGGACGAAGGCTACAGCCACTACTGTGTAATTGCATTCCATCGCACAATAGAATTAGATGGAGGGAGACGAAAATATGTGGAATGGCTAAAAATCTGCTCTCTCTCTTTTTTTTTCCTTTAAATGTACTAATTTTGAAGGTATCTTTGTTTAGCTTTTTCATTGAGTGATTTGAGTTGGAGAATGGGTGTTAACTGTCAAGCCATCTAAAGCTTCGCGGCGCTGTGAGCTGCTTGTTTTCTTGTCATTTTCTTCTTATGCTCTATGGGTTAAAATTGACATCACCGATTGCTGAAAATATATTTGCTGCATGATCGTGCTAAGGCTCCGAGCGAACCAAATGTTTGACGAGCTACTCGTTGTTCAGTTCGATTAAAATTTATTTGTGATTGTTTAATTAACTAAATAAACAAATTTGAGCAATATTTTAAATACTCGATCTTTAAATAAACAAATTTGAACACTAATGTGTTCACTGTTCGGCTCATTTATGTTCATGAACATCATTTAAAGCTCATGAACAAGCTCGACATAAAGCTCGATAAGAAGCTCGACTCATGTTTGATTTAGAACTCTTGCATAAGCTGGATAAAAACTCAATTAATATTTGATTATAAAATTGATAAATATATAATTTAAAGATTTTATAATTTATATTTATTATAGCAAAATAATATAATTAGTGCCAATTCTTTAAAGAATTTTCATCGGTCTCAAAAATTACAAACAAATTTTGTGTAAAGGAAAATACTAAAAAACAACACTTGACGAAGATGGTTTAAAATTGGAGTTTTATATTGAGTACAGAAAAAAATATGTATCTTGTTCAAAATATGATTATTACACTTAATTATATTCAAATAAGATTATATATATAACAACCACATTGATATGCCTGGTTGTGCAGCTTTGATACCAACCAAGAGGTTTGATTCAGTTATTGCATACATAATGTGTCAGGGTCGATTTCAAGGAGAATGACGATGGAGTTAACACACAATTAATTATTTTCAGCCCTAACCTACATGGTATGATAAGAGTTGCGTGGATTCTCAAATTTTCACCATGAATGACAAAATTGCAATATCAATATTATCAATAGTTGTGCCATTTGATGAATTAAAAATCTCATTTAATATATCAAATGTATTGGGCTAGTGCCCTCAATTTTTTCAAAAGATAAATATGTCAAATTGATCACTAATATATATATTAGTATATTATATATTCATATGAGACACATGTTATTTATCATCTTAGGTCAAAGCTATCCTGGTTTTGACTTAAAGGTTCGTTGTGTGACAATTTTTTTACTGTTTCTTAAAATCAATTTTTCTAGTACAAAAATTTAAATTTATTGTTACTAAAAAGCTGCTTTATGAAGTAGTCAAGAAGCCGTCCAAACAAAAGTCTTACTCATCTAATGGAAGAATGACTTAAACCAATCATCTCCCTATTCTTGATATTCTTTGCAGATATCATCCCAATTGCTTGCCATCCTAGTGTACTTATCTCCTTTGAATCAGAGAATTAAAAGTTCATCATCTACTATGGCATGATGATAGTTTTAGGCACAAACATATCCTCCTACCATCGCAAAGAATTTTATATTCATATTTATTTAGATATACTACGCCCTTTTATCAAGTTATATGTTGGAGCCCCAATTATAGCATTAATTATTCTGAATAGCGACTATTTCAACTTAACAAGCCCCATATTTTCTCTTATAAACTTTTTTATAGAGAAAATGCTTAAATACTTGTATCTTGTCATGTACTTATTCTTAAAATATATGTATGAAAATTTTTATGCAGCACTAAGATGATAAATTTTTTTCTCTATGATTGTAAATATTTTTAGAAAACAACAAATATTTAATATTTAATAAATTTAATTATAAATAAAATAATTTTCTAAATTTAAAGATTTAAAGAAGGCATTAATTAAAGAATTTTAACTTCTACACCTCAATGTTCATTCTTATGGGATAATTTCTGGCTACTTTTTACAACAAAAAATAATGACAAAAAACTATTTCAAACGTAAACCTAATCACTAATACAAACATATTAAAATTTTTTAATTCATCAATCTCGCATTCCAATTAAGCACAATCTATGCTTCCAGAGCATTTCCAACTGAGATTCAATTGCAGATCAAGCTATGAAAAAAAGGAGAAACTTTTATCAACAAAATAATAAAGCAAAAAGGATTCAAAACATAGCGTATTATTATGTGCGAGTAGAACCGTCCGATCTCTTTGTCTTAATTAAAATATAGTAATTAGTAGCTACAAATTATGACTGTAACTTTTACTTGTAGATAGAGAAAAATCGGACGATTTTCTCCTCATGTATCCGCATAAAACATGCAACAATGGACTGCAATAGAACCAAGCCGAGCCAAGTAATGTGAGTGTTCATGTTTGTGTTCATTTATTATTAGTCTGTTCAAGTTTGATCTCATGTTTGATTCGAAGCTTTATTGTTAGTGTTCATTTTTGGTCGTTTAAATTTAATAAGGTATTCATTCAGTTCATTTAGTGCTTATTGAGCTTTTTAGAACAAACAAGTCTTAACGAGCTATAAACGACGGCTCTACTTCTATATATTCATTAACATAACAAACAAGGTTATCGAGCCTCCTACAAACAATTACATCCTGAGCATGTTCGTATGAATATTTTAGCAAATTTGTTTAGTTAGTGCATATATTATAAAATTTAAATTACTTAAATTTATTATTTTTAAACAAT